TAACACAAAATGAAATTGAAGCAGCAATCAAGAGTCTCCCCAAAAAGAAAAGTCCAGGACCTGATGGATTCTCTGCTGAATTCTATCAGACCTTTAAAGAAGAACTGATACCAACCCTCCTTAAACTGTTCCATGAAATAGAAAGGGAAGGAAAACTGCCAAACACATTTTATGAAGCCAGTATTACACTTATCCCAAAACCAGGCAAAGACACCTCCAAAAAGGAGAACTATAGGCCAATCTCCTTAATGAACATTGATGCAAAAATCCTCAACAAAATAATGGCAAACCGAATTCAGCAACACATCAAAAAGATTATTCACCACGACCCAGTAGGCTTCATCCCAGGGATGCAGGGGTGGTTCAACATACGAAAATCAATAAATGTAATAAACCACATTAACAGAAGCAAAGACAAAAACCACTTGATCATCTCAATAGATGCAGAAAAAGCCTTTGATAAGATCCAACATCATTTCATGATAAAAGCTCTAAGAAAACTAGGAATAGAAGGAAAGTTCCTCAACATTATAAAAGCTATATATGACAAACCTACAGCCAGCATTATACTTAACGGAGAAAAACTGAAACCATTCCCTCTAAAATCAGGAACCAGACAAGGATGCCCACTATCTCCACTCCTATTCAACATAGTACTGGAATTCCTAGCCAGAGCAATTAGGCAAGAAGAAGGAATAAAAGGAATACAAATAGGTAAAGAAACTGTCAAAATATCCCTATTTGCAGATGACATGATCCTATACCTTAAAGACCCAAAAAACTCTACTCAGAAGCTTCTAGACATCATCAATAGCTATAGCAAGGTAGCAGGATATAAAATCAACATAGAAAAATCATTAGCATTTCTATACACTAACAATGAGCAAACGGAAAAAGAATGTATGAAAACAATTCCATTTACAATAGCCTCAAAAAAAATCAAATACCTAGGTGTAAACCTAACAAAAGATGTGAAAGACCTCTACAAGGAAAACTATACACTTCTGAAGAAAGAGATTGAGGAAGACTATAGAAAGTGGAGAGATCTCCCATGCTCATGGATTGGTAGAATCAACATAGTAAAAATGTCGATACTCCCAAAGTAATCTACATGTTTAATGCAATTCCCATCAAAATTCCAATGACATTCATTAAAGAGATTGAAAAATCTACTGTTAAATTTATATGGAAACACAAGAGGCCACGAATAGCCAAGGCAATACTCAGTCAAAAGAACAATGCAGGAGGTATCACAATACCTGACTTCAAACTATATTACAAAGCAATAACAATAAAAACAGCATGGTACTGGCACAAAAACAGACATGAAGACCAGTGGAACAGAATAGAGGACCAGATATGAAGCCACACAACTATAACCAACTTGTCTTTGACAAAGGAGCTAAAAATTACGATGGAGAAATAGCAGCCTCTTCAACAAAAACTGCTGGGAAAACTGGTTAGCAGTCTGCAAAAAACTGAAACTAGATCCATGTATATCACCCTATACCAAGATTAACTCAAAATGGATCAAGGATCTTAATATCAGACCCCAAACTCTAAAGTTGATACAGAAAGAGTAGGAAATACTCTGGAGTTAGTAGGTATAGGTAAGAACTTTCTCAATGAAACCCCAGCAGCACAGCAACTAAGAGATAGCATAGATAAATGGGACCTCATAAAACTAAAAAGCTTCTGTTCATCAAAAGAAATGGTCTCTAAACTGAAGAGAACACCCACAGAGTGGGAGAAAATATTTGCCAACTATACATCAGACAAAGGACTGATAACCAGAATATATAGGGAACTTAAAAAACTAAATTCTCCAAAACTAATGAACCAATAAAGAAATGGGCAAGTGAACTAAACAGAACTTTCTCAAAAGAAGAAATTCAAATGGCCAAAAAACACATGAAAAAATGCTCACCATCTCTAGCAATAAAGGAAATGCAAATTAAAACCACACTAAGATTCCACCTCACCCCTGTTAGAATAGCCATCATCAGCAACACCACCAACAACAGGTGTTGGCGAGGATGCGGGGAAAAAGGAACCCTCTTACACTGTTGGTGGGAATGTAAACTAGTACAACCACTCTGGAAAAAAATTTGGAGGCTACTTAAAAAGCTAGACATCGATCTACCATTTGATCCAGCAATACCACTCTTGGGGATATACCCAAAAGACTGTGACACAGGTTACTCCAGAGGCACCTGCACACCCATGTTTATTGCGGCACTATTCACAATAGCCAAGTTATGGAAACAGCCAAGATGCCCCACCACTGACGAATGGATTAAGAAAATGTGGTATCTATACACAATGGAATTTTATGCAGCCATGAAGAAGAACGAAATGTTATCATTCGCTGGTAAATGGATGGAATTGGAGAACATCATTCTGAGTGAGGTTAGCCTGGCCCAAAAGACCAAAAATCGTATGTTCTCCCTCATATGTGGACATTAGATCAAGGGCAAACACAACAAGGGGATTGGACTTGAGCACATGATAAAAGCGAGAGCACACAAGGGAGGTGAGGATAGGTAAGACACCTAAAAAACTAGCTAGCATTTGTTGCCCTTAACGCAGAGAAACTAAAGCAGATACCTTAAAGCAACTGAGGCCAATAGGAAAAGGGGACAGGAACTAGAGAAAAGGTTAGATCAAAAAGAATTAACCTAGAAGGTAACACCCACGCACAGGAAATCAATGTGAGTCAACTCCCTGTATAGCTATCCTTATCTCAACCAGCAAAAACCCTTGTTCCTTCCTATTATTGCTTATACTCTCTCTACAACAAAATTAGAAATAAGGGCAAAATAGTTTCTGCTGGGTATTGAGGGGGGGGGGGAGAGGGAGGGGGCAGAGTGGGTGGTAAGGTAAGGGGTGGGGGCAGGGGGGAGAAATGAACCAAGCTTTGTATGCACATATGAATAATAAAAGAAAAAAAAATAAAAATAAAAATGGAGAACAGGACAATAACCAGGTCCTGTCTGGGTGGGTTGGTACCAGTGGGAGAGGGAAGAGTGGGGAAAGGATGTAGGAGGGTGATATGGTACAAATACTGTCTATGTAAATGGAAAAATGAGACATGTTGAAACTATTTCAGGAATGGAGGGGATAAAGGAAAATGATGGAGACAGTCATTCAAATATGATATATTTCATACATTGTAAGAACTCTTGTAAATTCCATAATCTACCCCCAGCTCGAAAAAAAAAATGCGTAGAGAAAAATGGACTGGAGGTGAGGCTGAAGTGGTGGAGCATCTGCCTTGCAAGTGCAAAGTCCTGAGTTCAAACCCCAGTGCAACAAAAGAAATGAAAGAAAGAAAGGAAAAAAGGAAGGAAGGAAGAAAGGAGTAAGGCAGGGAGGGAGGGAAGGAAGGGAAGGAGGAAAGAAGGAAGGAAGGAAAGAAGGAAGGGAACTAAGGAAGGGGCTAGAAATTTAGCTCACTGAATGCATTTGTCTAACATGCATAACAAACTGTGTTCAAATCATAGAATAGAAAAAAAATCACAATAAATGAGGGTTGTGTAACCGGACATGTCACATGTAAAACTTCATTCAAGTGACACAAAAATCACACATCTTATGGAAAAAATCTAGAAGCAGCACAGGCTCATAGAGCAGTCTTGTGGAGTGACCTTGGGGGAAATACCAAGTCTCTTGTGCCAGTGTCTTCATCCACAAAGGAGGGTTCATGGCATTTCTTGGTGCAGGTAAGTGCCATCTATTTCCATAAGCACCACAGGGCATCCATTCACAATGTGACTGACCACTGTCCTTCTCTCCTCTCGTCCACAGGCATAGGCCTATGACCTTTGTGGTGTCACGACCTCTTCTTCACTACTCTATCCTTTCTCATAGGCCACCCAAGATTCCATCAAAGTCCAACTGAGAGTAAGGGAGCCTCACCTATGTGAAGCCTCAGCCCTCCCCAAGAGCAGAAACAGAACCACATACTTCACCCAATGAGTGTGGACAGTCCCGTGGCAGGACCTTGTGTGTACACAGCACTGCACAATCAGATATTCCCATGGTGTGGTCCATGGCTTGTATGGCATTGCGTAATCTGATGGAACACAGAAAGGCACAGGACATTTGAGGGCCCAAATCAACTATTCCTGTTGTCTGTGCTCTGCTTTCTTTCCAAGGAGCTGAGCTCTGCTGTCCAGTCACTAGACCAGGCGATCATCAGGGACACCCACCATCCCTGGAAGTTGTATTATAAACCCTCGTGCAGCTTCCTAAACCATTCTGGTATGACAGGATTGGAGGGATGGCAGTCTTGCATAAGAGGAAAACTGGAGACTGGAGACAGGGTGAGAATAAGAGGTAACAATATCAGCAGAAGCATGAGTCCAGCAAGGCGTTGAGGGAAGACTCTAGGCCAAGTTCATGACAGGAAATAAGAGCCCTTGGAAGACTTGCTGGGTGTCTTCACCCCAGCTCAGCAGGCCCAGGGCAAATCTTGTCCTTTTCCATACTTCGTGTCCTCAACCTTAGTAGGGAAGCATTCAAGTGAGGTACTCTGGGGTCCAGAAACCCTGCTGGGGTGTGAAGTCTTTACTATAGAAGGCAGCAATGGAGGCAGGAAGCTCCAATTTTACTGCACACAAAAATAATCATTAAGTTGGGGGACTGTACTGGGGAGCTTCAGTGAGTGATATCACAATCAACAATTTGAAGAGTGATGAGACACAGTAACCAAGGGAGTGCCTGGTGAAGACAGACACTGATGAAATGCAACAATACATGAACTCATAGCCTAGCAATCACAAGGCCCTGAGTTCAAACCCCAGTGCCACAAAAATAAATAAAAACAGTAAACAAAATCACATTTCTTGAAAACAAAGCAAATTCATAAAGCCAGAAGCTGGTGGCTTATGCATGTTATTTTAGTGACTCAGGAAGCAGAAATCAGGAAGATTATGGTTTGAAGTCAGCTCTGGGAAAATAGTTCTCGAGACCCTATCATGAAAACTACGCAGCACCAAACAGGGCTGGTGGAGTGGGTCGAGTGGTAGACCACCTGCTCAGCAAGTGTGAGGACCTGAGGTCAAACCCAGTACTGCCAAAAACAAAAACAAAGTGAGTTCATAAATCTCTAGACTCACCAAGGAAAATATGCAAATTACCAGCATCAGATACAACTGAAAGAACATCACTGCAGAATAGCTGTTAAAAGGATCATAAGGGGGTGTAAGTCATTTTTGTCCATAAATTCAACAACAGATAAAATGAACATTTCTTCAAACACACAACCTACTAAAGCCCACTGGAGAACAACTGGATTGTATGAACAACCTGTATCTGTTAAATAAACTTACAATCAAGGACCTTCTCACAAAGAAAACTCAAGGCACACATACATTTATTGGCAAATTATACCAATTACCTAATGAAGAAATTGCATCAGTAGTACATAAAATATTCCAGAACATAGAAATGACAAAAGCATTTTTCAACACTTTTACTCAGGATTATCAGAATTTATTTGGACAAAATTACTACATGCCCCAGACAAAGCATTACAAGACAAGGAAGAGACAAATACGGCTCACAGCACTGATAAAGGGGTCCACAAAAAAATATTAGAAAGTTGATTCCCAAAATATATCAATGGAATAATCAGAAATATACAGGGTTAATCTGGGAATTCAACACTGGCTCACCATTGAAAAGGACATTAGTGTGTGTATGTATTTCCACATCAAAAGACATTAGAAGGGGCTGACAGTGGCTCAAGTAGTAGAATGCCTGCCTAGCAAGTATGAGGCCCTGAGTTCAAACCCAGTGCTGCAAAAACAAAAAAAAAAAAAGCACAACAAAAGAGATTTCAGAAGTCACAATAGATGTATAACTAAGTTTAATGTGATGCAAATTCCAAGCAGGGTGAAAATGTCCCATGAATCAGGAATACAAAAGAATTTCCTGACCAGATGTGTTTTTTAAATTTAATCAGGGGGCAGGACTCTTGATCACAGCATCTAGAAAGTCTTGTGTGCTCACAACACATTGAATGAACTTCAATTTGGGTTGCATCTAAGGACTATAGAGAAGAAGCTTTAGGTAGAGTGCACAAACCACACACACATCCACATCCAGCTCCCCACCCACCAAACTGTGCCACTCCAAGTCACATGACAACTGCACAGCAAAGCTTCTGAGCACAGGCACATGCCACAGCGCCCACAGGACACAAATCCAGCCAAGCTCTGGAAACAATTTCATCCTGAAAGCGGCTGAGTTGATGTGGAAAAGTTGAGAAGTCACTGGGAACCTGGGGTTGCAGGAGTCAGTGATGCTCCAACAATGAACCATCCTGGGCTTGGGACAAGTCCTGCAGTCAGTCACACAAGGGAGGGAACTACATGGATTCCCATTCCTCTTGTCCTCATTCCAGTGACTGAAGCTGGAAATTTGTCAACAGGTACAAATCTATCCAAGTACCCCAGAGTGGAGAATGGGCAGGACAACCCTTGTAACGTAATAAGGCTGATTAGGAGGTTCTTGGAATTTGCCTAACTGTAACTCAGAAACTGCATATGGGCTTATTTACATAAGCACTGATCCCCAAACTCCAGCCATCCACTCTTATGGCTTTCAGCAATCTCTAACAAGTGGTGTGAGGACAGCCCTCCTTATGCAAGGTCCTGTGTGCATGGATTCAACCGAGAACAGAAACTAATAAATGGGCCAGGTGCAATTGTTCACACCTGGAACCCCAGCTACCTGAAAGGCAGAGATCAGCAGGATTGAGGCTCAACGCCAGCATGGTCAAAAATGTAAGCAAGACCCCCATCACAACAAAAACACAGACATTAAAAAAAGAAAAAAGACTCTTGGAACAAACAGACTTCTTGTCATTATTCCCGAAGCAACACAATATAACTGTGTATGTAGTATTTACATGACATTAATTGCAAGATATCTAGAGATTGTTGAAAGTACATGCAAGTGGCTGGCAGAGTGGCTCAAGAGGTAGAGTGCCTGCCAAGCAATCCTGACGCCCTGGGTTCTAATCCATTCCCCATCTCCCCCCAAAAATCCCATAAAGTAATTAAAGGGTGTGCGTAGTCTCCGTGCACTTGCAACCCTATTTTATATAAAATACTTGAGCATCCAAGGATGCTGGTAGCCACATGGAGCCTCAACTTGGTATCTTCAGCCATGAAGGGATGACTACATAGATCTGAGAAATACAGCAGGCAATGTGCTTCCTGGCATGAGTATCTGATTTCTTATTTAGTGCCATGAAATCTGACACTCTAGAATTTAAGTCTGACAGTTTCCCTAGAAATAGTTCAAATGCTCAGCAGAACGTCTTCATGAAGCTCCCAGTCAGGCTAAAGAAGGTGAAAAAATCCTCTACCAACTTGAAAACAGAAAATCTCCTGCATGTTTCATCCATGACCCCTTACCTCCAAATGCAACCCAATTTGCAAAATGGTTATGTAAAGTATGTTCCAAATCAAACAAAAAGAGGTTTGGCCCAGCAGTTTTATTGTCCCTAATTGCAGGTGTGTGACACAGAGCTGGGCTCAGGGTTGCCTGAGGCTTTTCTTAATGAAGTAGCCCACCAGCCGCTGTGGTCTCTGTTGGTACTCGACCAGCACCTCGTGTGGGCTGCTGATCTGGTCCCCCTGCAGTCGGTCCAGGAGGGTGACACACACCACGGCCGCTGTGAAGAGTAAAGACCACATCAAGACTAAGTGCCAAATGTCTGTCTTAGTCCACTGAGAAGGCAGGAAGAGCCAGGAAGCTCTCAGAACAGCCTGTGCTACCCCTAGAACACCAGTTGTGTTCAGAGTAAGAGCAGGGGAGAGTTAACAGGTAGAGCAGAACAGGAAGAGCACTGGATTCAGGAACTCCAGAAGCTGCACCCACTCCCACACCAACTTGCCCTATCTCTATTCACCTGTGGCTTTTGCTTCAAAGAAATTTCCAACCAAGCTGAGCACTGTGCCTCATGCCTGTGAACCCAGGTACTCAGGAGGTGGGGATTGTCAGAATTACAATTTGAGAGGAGGATGGGCAAGAAAAAAAACCTGAAAATCTATCTGAAAAATCACTAAAGTAAAAAGGGTTGAGGGCACAGCTCAATTACATAGCATGTGCCTCACAAATTATTACAAACTCCAGTCTGCAAAAAGGAAGGAAGGGAGGGAGGAAAAAAGGAAGGAAGGAAGGAGAAGGGAAAGGAAGGGAGGAAGGACAGAAGGAAAGAAATGAAGGGAGGGAAGGAAGGAAGTGGAGGGAGGGATGAAGGAAGGAAGAGATGGAGGAAAGAAGGGAGAAAGGAAGGAAGGAAGGGAAGGAAGGGAAGAAGGGAAGGGAGAAAGGGAAGGGAGGAGGGGAAGGAAGGAAGGGGGGAGGAAGGAAGGAAAGAAGCAAGGGGAACGGAAAGAAAGGGAAAGGAAGAGAAGGAAGGAAGGAAGGAAAGGGAAGGACGAAAGAAAGGAAGGGAAGAAGGAAGGAAGGAAAGGGAAAGGAGGGAGGGAGGAAGGAAGGAAGGAAGGAAAAAAGGATGAGGGAGGGAGGGAAGGAAGAGAAGAGAAGGAAAGGGAAGTGAAGGGAAGGAAGAAGAAAGAAAGGAATCCCAGAACCACTTCCAAAGGCCTAAAAGAGCACATGTTGGCTGCAGTGACTGGGTACAGAGAATTCTGGGAAGTTGAGCTGGAATTGAGGGGTAGTTTGGACCAAGACATGAATTAATCACATTTTAAAGGCCAAAGAGTGATAAAAGTCAAGCTCTTGGTAGGAGTTAGGCATCTCATTGGACAGCATACTATGATCTGAGTTGGGTTGTTCATCCTTCTCGTTCTCTTTTTCTCTCTCCTCATGCCCCTGTCTCTCTCTCTCTCCTTTCCTCCTATCTCCCTTCCTTCCTTCTCTGCAGGGACGGTAAGGTTACTACATACTGTCGTATGACAATAAAAGCACACTGTAGACTAAGGGACAGTGATGCCACCTCAGTCAGATACTGACTTGTAAGGCATGGTAGATAAAAGGCAGACACCAGCACAAGTATTGGAGTGCTCTAGGAAGAGGAACCATGGCAGGACTCCAGGAAGGGCCAGCAGAGCAGAGATGAAGGAGGAATGGTGTCCAGGCCATCAAATTCCCCTTTACCTCGGAGGCCACACATACTGCACATGGCAGCAAAGACTGAAGATTCCATCTCGATGTTTCTGATGCCCGCAGCGTGGGCAGCTCGCAAATAGGCCTGCTTGTCCTTCTCCGTGTAGGAGCAGAGGGCACCATCCAGACGACCTTGCCCTGCAGCACAGACACATGAGAACACCTGCATGCTGTCACCTCCTACTGCATTCTGGAACCACAGTGACCTTAGGACAGGAGACGGGGAGGCCCACACAAGCCCCGCCTGGTCTCACAAGTGCACAGCTGCTCATTAAAACCTCCATGGAAATGTGATGCTGGGTCCACAGCCCCTCCCCCACCCCCATCCCCGTTGTGAGGTCACAGCACCACAGACAGCAGCCCACCATCAGCAGGCAAGCTAGGGACAGGCTATGGTTTCTTGTGAGCAGAGCTGCCCTGCCATTATCTCACCTTCATAGAAGTCCAAGGTACACATGGTGTTTCCCACAACAGTGGTGAACTCGCTCAGGTCTACAGAGCACTGCAGCAACTCCTGCACCAGCTGCTCGTCTAGGTCTGTACTCCGAACCACCCGCTTCCCCAGGACAAGCTGCTCAAACTCCGCCTTGAAGCAGGCATCCACTGCTTGCCGGGTGATGACCACTGAGCCAGGCTCCAGACCTGAAAAAGAGACATCACAGCTGAGGAGAGAGGATAGGACGGCACACAGAGAGCATGGGCAGAAAGTAATGCAATCCATCACCACATCCAGGTACTAAAGCATCCAGCCCTGTGATAAAGTCAGTCATCCCTTTTCACGTGAGAAGTTCACCTGACTGAATTCACACATAACACTGTGGACAAACAGGTGAAAGTGTAAAGAACACTGATAGTACCAGGGGCCTCTATATCCTGTATCAAAGGATACAGTCTTCCATTGTCTCCTGTGTTTCCCCATTGATGGCACTCCATCATATAGGTCATCATGATTGTGCTGGAATTGCAACCATGCACACAAATTTTATATCAGTCTCTCAGAAGATCAGGCATTTAAACCAAGTCCACTGAAATGATGGAATCACCCTACTCCATAAGCAGTCAGGTCTAGACATGAGGAACAATTGCATATATACCTGGTGGTCACCATCAACATCTGAGCCAAACTTGCCCCACAGTGGATGCAAGCTCCTCCCCATGAGCCCAATCTCCCTCCTGAGAGAAAGACAATCTGGCATCCAGTTCCATAGGAAGACTGGCATGCAGTTGTGATGTCAGGGTGAAGGATAGAATCTTTAAAACCAATTAGACTAAGAGACTTTGCTTAGTGCTATGGCTTAATTAAGGTAGGTCCCCATCAAAACCCATGTTGAAATGTAAGAGGTAGGAGCAACTGGGGCCTATGAGAGGTCATTAGGGCTCTGTCCTAGTGAGTGGATGCATACATTCATTGAGATAAATGGGTTAATGAGAAAACTCAGGAGTGGCCTGGTTGTAGAAGTCAGTTGGGCTAGGCTGACATTCTGTCATCATCATTATGTCTTGCACCATCTTGGGACTCTGCAAGATGGCTTCACCAAATGATTCCCTTCAGTTTAGGACCATAACCATGCAGCCAATAAATTTCTTTTCTTTATAATTTACCCTGTCTCTGGTATGTGATAATCAACCACAAATTTCAGCAGTTTGAATCCTGTTCTTTCTTTGCCCTCTTTATACACACACACACACACACACACACACACACACACACGTGCTGAGAACTGGGAACTTTAGAGTTCATTTAAGGACCTTTTTCTCGTCTATGTATCCCACCTGTCCTCCCCCTTTGATTTGTTTCTGGGTTTCTCACGAGGTGCTTCAAATTTTTGCAGGGAGAAGGAGTGGAAAAGAACAAACAGGAAATCAAACAAATACAAAGGCACAGAGTGTGCAGCCCAGATGAATGCACTTGTGCCTGTGCAAGGCCTGGCAACTGTCTGCTGCCCATCTCTGGGGTTCCAACTGGGAGGATGCCGTGAACAAAATGTAACCAAACAAGCTTCCTTTCCCATCTCCTGTTAAGAAGTTCTCCTTGAACAAAGTCAAGGAGACTTTTGTACCCACTCCCACACCATGCTGGAGCTGCTACAAGCAGCTCTGTCCCCTCATCCCCTCACAGGGCAAGAGCCACCTCCCCAGCCCTTACCTATCCCACCAGAAGTGCCAATGCGGATGATGGTGACATTGGAGCACCTGGCATGGTACAGCAGCTTGATGAGTTCATGTAACATGATGGCGATAGAAGGAATGCCCATACCGTGCTGGAATCAAGAGAGAAATGTCAATAGTTGAGGCCACAGATGTATGTTTACCAATACAGAAGTCTCTTCTCAAGTGGACAAGGTGGCACACACCTGTAATCCCAGAACCTGATAGGCAGAAGCAGAATTTTGAATTCAAGGCCAGCCTGGGCTATTAAGTGAGACCCTGACACACACACACACACACACACACACACACCCCAAAAACCAAAACAAAGCAGAAGCACCTCCTATCAGAGGATTGGTTCTGTGCAGCATTAGCCACCCACCTTGAGCAAGAAGGGTCGGGACATGGTCATGGGAAATATTGAGAGACAGGAAGAGAATGAGATGCAGAGGGAGGTCACATTCACATATCTCTTCCTGCTGTGCATTGGTGTACTTATTCTATCTTATTATTACTTTTGCTGTTCATCTCTTGCTGTGCCTAGTTTATACATTAATATGTAGTCAAGAATGCTGGCTGCAAGTGGCTCATGCCTGTGATCCTAGCTACTCAGGAGACTAGAGATAAGGAGAATCGAAGTCTGAAGCCAGCCTGGGCAAACAGTTCATGAGACCCTATCATGAAAACACCCATCATGAAAAATGACTGGGCAAGAATGAATATAGAAGTGTTGGAGCCACCATAAGAAGGGGACTAAGGAAGAGAGTAGAATAGAGGGATGAAGCAAGTCATTTATCATACATATATACATGGAAATGTCACAAGGAAATTCCTTGTAGCTATGTAAAAAAAAAATGTCATTTTTTTTCTTTTACAAAATCAGAGAAAATGAGGAAGGAACAGGTCCTGTCTGGGAGTTTGGTACCTTTCAGAGGGAGGAGGTACGGAAAGGGTGTAGGAGGGTGAAATTTGGTGCAAATACTGTGTACATATGTATGTAAATGGACAAATGAGACCTGTTGAAAGTATTCCAGGAATGGGGTGAGGGGGGATAAAGGAGAATGGTAGATGGGGTGAATTCAAGTACAATACCTTTGAAATACTGTAAGACCTTTCATAAATTCCACAATGTACCACCACACACCAAAATTTAAAAAAATTTAAAAAAAGGAAAAAAAAGAAAACATTTAACAAATACATTAAAAAACTTATCAAGGGTATGCATGAATGGGAAAGAAACAGTACAGATGGAGTTTGCAGTCTCTCAGGTCAGGTATCCACTGGGGGTCTTGGAGCACCATGGTTTGGGATGACTACCGTGCTGTGGTTTGTTTTATGTCATGCACTTCAACTAACAAGCTCATTGTGATGATAACAGACGAGATTTAAAATATAGATTTAAAGATGCTCGACACTCTAGGAAACTTAGTGTTTCCTAACTGTACACTAACTTATGTAGGACAGCCCTGTACTACATGTGACCTCGTGTGACCTGCAAGACCTTGGAACTTGTGGCAGTGGAGGAACCAAGCTTAGAGGGAAGGTAGCAGCCATTATTGGTGGGAAACAAACATCTACTTCTGGCTTCTGAATCCCCGCACAGATGCTGAATTTATTCGATGGCTCATTTTTACCTCTTCATTTTTCTCCCTAACCTCTTTTTGGAAAAACTACATAGCTGGCAGGACTCTTAACACCCCACACCAGATGGCTTGCTAACTCTCTACTTCTGCCATTTCCTCTTCTAGGAGTCTCTGCATATACTCTCTCCAATTCTCAAAGACCCTTCCAGAGTGATTCCTTCCATAACACCCCTATGTGACACACCCTGGGCACTTTACACAATCTGTTGCAATCCCCAATGGGAAACAGACCCCTTTAAGAATTTGTCACAGGGTCTCCTATACAAGAATGAATGTAGAATTTTTAAGCCTTTTGAAATCACCTTAAGATGGGGACTAGATAAAAAAGAGAAAAATAGAGTGGATGGACCAATTTGGAATATAATACATTTATACATGGAAACGTCACAAGAAATCTCCTTGTGTAGCTATCTTAAACAACAACAACAAAAAATGTTGTTTTTTTTTCATTCATTTACAAAATCAAAGCAGAGAAGATGTCCTGCCTCTTTGGTGCCAAGGAGGGGGGAAAAGGTGGGGAAAGGGTGTAGGAGGGTGAATATGGTGCAAATACTGTGTACACATGTGTGAAATTGGAAAAATAAGACCTGTTGAAATTATTACAGGAATGGGAAAGAGGGATAAAGGAAAATCACGGAGGAGTGAATGCAACTATGATATATTTGATATACTGTAAGAACTTCTGTAAATGCCACAATGTATTCTCAGCACAATAAAAAAAGGAATTTCAAATAAACAGTATTGGTGAAAATAGAAAGAATTTGTCACAGTGTTTCAGACAGAGGAAGTACTTCCATAGACTATAACTGAATGATGTGGCTCCCAGCTGCGTGCTAAATGATGGAGACTGTGAATGCTGTCTTCTGACAGGAGAGGTGGGGTGGAGGCCCCTGTTCCCAGGAGGGGAGTCCTTGCTACCATTGTAGCTCTTCATCTGTATTGCTACCGACAAAGGAAATCAAAACTGGAAAAAACAGGCTGGTGGCATGGCTCTAGGGGAAGAACCCAGCCTAGCAAGCATGAGGCCCTGAGGTCAATCCCTAGCACCTCCAAAAAAAAAAACCTGGAAACTTCATTGGTAGAATATTAAGAGATTTCTAGACTCACTGTCACTGCCAAGATTAGTGCTGCAGTATGTCACTGTGTTGTGGCAGAGGGGAGTGGTCCTGTAACTCCTTATACCCTTGTTCAGAATGACAGACCCTCCAGTGTCTCCTTCGATAAAATTCAGCTCCATAACCACCTGCCTGTGCTACTCTGGGGACAGCTGAATGGACTAGGATTTGCATTTGTGAACTGAGGAATCCCAGGAGACTGCAAGTCAGGACAAGAGCTTGGTCCAATTCATCCCCAGCTCCACCTGCTGAGGGCTCACCTTACTCCTGACCATTTCCAGCAAGCAGGTGTTGTAGTACCAGGTGTCTATGTGTGCAGAGGGGCAGGTGCAGGGCTGGAAGAGCCTGGAGACCAAGTCCAAGGAAGACGCAAGTACTCACACTCACGGACAGAACCGGTCCAACTTTATACATGGCGTAGCGGTCAGTTCCCGCACAGATGTTGGGATACTCATCCCCTGGACGTCCAAGTCCCAGCTCCACGGCCACATAGTTGATGAAGGAGTTCATCCGAGAGGGGCTTCCACCAACACACACAAACTGCAGCCAGAGAGCAGGGATGCCATAATGAACACTGTTTACAGCAGAGGTCTTCAAAGTCAGGTCGTTAGCCAGCAACATCATTGTGATCGAGAAGGTGATAGAAATGTAAAGTCCCTTGCCCTGAACAGACCTACTGTATGGGGGAGGGCACAGCACCCTACTCAATGATGAACTCTCTGCTGATTTCAGCAGCACTGTACTTTGATTCAGTATGGGCCCCACAGAGAACAATGCACCCAGCACCACACATCAGGGACCCAGACTCCTGCTATCTTTTAAAGGGTGACTCCAGACACCTTAGCCTCCCACACTATGGGGAAGGCAGCATAGGGTGGTGAAGAAGGCATGGGTTTGAACTGAGATAGTGTGAGTTTGTCATTGTCTCTCCACCTTCTTATGTGACCAGGATCCCATGGCCATCTGTGAATTTGACCATGAATCCCTCCCTCTCAACTGGTCAACTTAGTGCCAAATAGCCAATGGAGGGGGCGGGAAGGGGGGTAGCTATGGTGCATGGGTGTGTCTCTAGAAGCAAAATCTGCAACTTGCAAAGTGTCCTGTAAGAAAACATACTCTTTTGCACATAAAACAACAGCCAGTTTTAAGGAATATGCTTGTAGATAAAAGAAAATGAATTTTAACCCTTTTACCAAGAAAACAGGGTGGTACCAGTGGGACAGGGAGGTGGCAGAGAAAGGAGGTAGGAGGGTGAATATGGTGTAAATACTGTGTACACATGTATGTAAATGCAAAAATGACAACTGTTGAAGTTATCCCAGGAATGAGGACAAAGGAGAGTGGGGGAGGGGATGAACTCAACTATGATAATTTAATACATTGTAACAACTTTTGAAAATGCAAAAGTACCCCCACCCAGCACAACTAAAAAAAGTAAGAAGGAAAATGGTAAGAAGAAAACATAAAGAACAAACATGAAAAGAAATGCCATACATGGAATCTTCATCATGACAGATGAACCTTAATGAGATGAACTAAATGTAATAAGATCACATGGAAAGCTGTCCCACACTGACACTAATACTACACCAAAGCATGGCAGATGGGACAGTGCTCTGTCAACAAGCTATGACCTCACAAAGCAGTTTTGGATTCTAGGTAGTGTTTATTTTAGTAACTGTCTGCAGGAACTAACTGTATACTTCAAAATAGCAAATAGAGAAGCCTGTGAATACTCCCAGCACAAAGTAATGACAAATGTCTGCATTGTGCATTGCTAAATACCTGCTATGATTATTACACATTGTACATACGGACTGAAATGTCACATTCTCCCGTGTAATAGTGTACAGTGATTATGTATCAGTAAAACAAATGTTATGCTGGGCACCAGTGCCTCACGCCTATAATCCCAGCTACTCAGCAGGCAGAGATCAGGAAGATTGTAGGTTGAAGCCAGCGGGCATAAATACTTGCAAGACCCTATCTTGAAAAAACCTGTCACAAAAAAAAAATTTTTAAGGATTTTTAAAAATGTGTATGTTAGGGTAAATCAACACTGAGGAACTTAGGACTTTGTAGAGAAACTGAACTGCACGCTGCAGTCAGCAAAAGCAGCTCTTAGAGATAATGAAATAAACAAAACAGCAATATACATCTAGATTTACAAGTAGATGCAAACACACTCCCTCACTCAGAATCCCCGCTCCTCTTGGACGTGGTTTATTTATATCTCGCTCCTCCTCTCAATCAAGCATTAGGCACTTTAGTGCATTTATTTTATGAATTCAATCATTTATTATTGAGATGGGGTCTCACTATGTGGCCCGCATTGGCTCCAGTGATCCTCCTGCCACAGCCTCCCAAGTAACTGGGACATTTCCAAACCACCTGCCTGGTTCAGGATGCTCTTTTGTGCTCTGTTCAATTATACGCTACAGTTGCAAGAGATTAATTGGGGGCTGATAGAGTAGTAGATAGGGCCATTTCCTATTTTACTTGCTCACTCAAATACTTGAACAGTAGCAGTTTGCAAAACTTGATAATGCCAGGAACTTGACACCTCTGAGCCAGCTGTGACTAGGTTTCACTTCATCATATAGGAGGATGCTAGTATAAGTCAAATTCCTAGAATTAAAGCCTGGGTTTTACCTTCACATCACCAAACATAGCAGGGAAATTGTGTGTGCTCGTGCTCAGGCTGAAGTGGTAGAGAACATCTTCCTTCATTGTCGCTATGTTTGGATTTGAAAGCTGAACGAGGCAGTCACTGCAAAAGCAAGAAAGCACATCTATAGACCCTGGGTGCTGGTCGCCATATTATCACCGAAATGCCCCGTGTGAGGGACATGTGTGAGGCAGGTGCTGTAAGAGGGACAAAAGCAGACCCTGGGGTTAAGATGACCTTACTGTACTAGAGAAAAGGTTAGATCAAAAAGAATTAACCTAGAAGGTAACACACACGCACAGGAAATCAATGTGAGTCAATGCCCTGTATAGCTATCCTTATCTCAACCAGCAAAAACCCTTGTCCCTTCCTATTATTGCTTATACTCTCTCTACAACAAAATTAGAAATAAGGGCAAAATAGTTTCTGCTGGGTATTGGGGGGGGAGAGGGAGGGGGCGGAGTGGGTGGTAAGGGAGGGGGTGGGGGCAGGGGGGAGAAATGAACCAAGCCTTGTATGCACATATGAATAATAAAAGAAAAATGAAAAAAAAAAAAAAAAAAGGATGACCTTACTTTGCCAAGGTCCCTCCTCCATCTCCTTCTATTTAACTCCTCTGTCTTCCTAAAGTCCCCACCCTTTGAATACACTCAGCACAAATTCAGTAGAGCCCAAAAAAGTACAAGGATCAGATGTTAAATCATGCCATATGGTTGCTATAGCTAGGTGCTGTCCAAAACAAATTCATTTAAAATGTAAACTTGAAGTTGGGCACCAGTAGCTCATGCCTGTAATCCTAGTTACTCAGGAGGCAGCCAGCCCAGACAAATAGTTCACAAGATTCAATCTTGAAAATAAAAAATCACTAAAAAAAGGGCTAGTAGAGTGTGTCAAGGTATAGGCCCTGAGTTCAAACCCCAGTACCAGAAAAAAGTTTAAAAAACCTAAACTTGACTGTTAAAAGCAACTAAATATGGCTCATTTGATATGTTTCTGTGAATCTTGCTTGCTAGACTGACAACACTAAGTTTTACATTTATGATTTCAGCTTACAAATACCAAATTTTAGAATCTTCTAAAAATTGTGTTCATGTAAATAACTAAATTCATTTTAGCTTCTTATGTAATATGAACGCCTCTGTCTGGAGGCATCAATTAGCAAATCTAATACTAAGTAATTCAAATCTCCAATCTGCAGGTATATAATTTCTTTTTCTTGTCTTGTGGCACTACCTACCACTTCTCAGTACAATATCCACACCAGTGGCAAGAGAAAACATCTCTTCAATTTGCTTTATTTTCAGACACAATACAAGAACATTTATGGGTGCCTCACATTACATGCCCATTGGGCAGCACACTTGTTCTACAACAGGATTTGCCAATCTTATTTTAGAGAAGTTCCAAAGGTAAGTATGACTTTTTAGCCCATTGAGTTTCTGTCACAATGACTCAGTCTGCTATTCTCTCATAAAAGCAAGATAGACTTACACGAAGGATGAGTACATGTGATTGCAATGAAATTCTGTCTACAATAAGAGCTACCCAAGGTCTAGGCAATTTCATCTCCAGACCCCAAGCTTCCTGAGACTCAAATATCAACATGGATCCCTCGACAATGCATGTATTCTGATTCCCACAGATAGGTGTGCTCCCCCAGCAAGGGAGTGCTGGGGCTGGTTGACTGCTTCATGGGCAGGTAAGTGTGAGTGATAGAGAGACACAGAATGACAGGTAAACTCTAAGCAGTGACCACTCCTGACACACCAACCACACACAGGGATTGGGCTCATCAGATCCCATGCACAGGTGTTGTCAACCTTGCTCAGAGGGAGCAAGCAAGCTGCCTCAGGCACAGACACGCCTAGCTGCCCTGAACCCACAGCTTCCTGACAGGCATCCTGGCTCTGGATTCAGAACTCATTTTACTTGGGGGAGGATTTTTTTCAACAGACCAAATTGAGAATTGTATGTGGTTAGGTTAGTACTGTAAGAGGAGCAATGACAGAGGCGACTTCATTTTGAATGAGAGAGGCACTTTAATAGGAGATATCTAGGTGTGGGAAACAATGGGCTTCTCAGAGAGATAACAAGCCCCTTACCAAAGTAACAAGATGCAGCTGCACAATGTGGGTAGTGAGGCCCAAAGCCAGGACCAGCTGGACCTCCCTGGAATGTCCAGTTCAATAAGCAGAGGGGAAGACAGGTGGTCAGATTTATTGAGAAGTTGACTAGGCCCCTAGGCCCCAATCAATTATAAATACAGAATAGCTGGACATGAGCCAGTGAGTGCCCTATATGGTCTCCTAGACTTCAGCCATTGTTTGGCTTAGCCCTTTCACCAAGTCTCACCCACCTTTCAATAAACTTTGTGTTTGCTTTACTCTTAACTCCTGGCCTAGTGTCTTCACTCATCAACTATGCCAGCACACCAATCTAGGGAACAACACTCCTGTATCAGTACCATCTTTAGACTTTCCCACAATGATTTTTTGATCTCTTAAAGAATCTGAAATTTTGACCATAACAACACCACCTACAGCCTGTGCAGCTCCTCTAATGACCGTGACGTTTAAAGTAATCATGGCCCTGTTCGCCAGCAGTGGGCTATGAACACAGAACACAATGAGAAGAGCCGATGTGCAAGCTTCAAAGTGACACAACAGGATGCAGTTAATTCACCTGACCCGTATTTCCAAATAGGAAGTCTTTCTTCACTCCATGATTCCAGCAAGAGCAGGAGAAGGAAGTAGGGTGAGACCATGAGACCACAATGATTTTGAAATATGTATCTCTGACATATGCCATGATGAACTCAAAAGGATTTTTAAATAACAAGTCAGAGACAAAAATATTTCTCCAGTCTACACACAACTCAAGGGAATTTATCTTGTTTTATTCTGGTACTTTATTCATTTAACAAATATTCATTGAGGACCTGCTACTGTAGGCATGAAAATGGACAGGAGGCCACTCCAGGAAACCCCAGCAGAAGTAACAGACATCTAGGGGGAGGGGAGAGGAAAAAGAAAATCAGTGGACTTGAAGTCTATGTAGGGGGTCTGGGAGTGAGGCTCAGTGGTAGAGCATGTAAATAGAAAGAAGAAAGAGACAGAGAGAAAGACAAAAAAAGTAAGAGAGGGAGAAAGAGAACGAAACAGAAAGAAAGGTAGAGAGGGAGGGAAGAGGGAGGGAGAGAAAGAGAGAGAAAAACAAAGGGAAAGACAGAAGAGGGAGGGAGGGAACGATGGAGGGTGAAGAGAGAAAGAAGGAAAGAAAGAGATAAAGAAAGAGAAAGGGGGAAATAAAGGAAGAGAAAAATAGAGAAAGAAAAACAGAAGAAAGAAAGAAAAGATGGGAAGGGAGGAGAAAAGAAATGTCCATGTAGGATCTGGTGATGACAACTTTTCCTTTTCTAGCAATCCCTAAACCTAAAAGACAGGTCATAAGCTGAAGGTCTTTTACCATCTGAATCATGAGACTTCCAAGCCCTTAACCCCTCAGCCTCTGGCATGAGAATCACATGTGTTAACTCTTAGAAAAATGAATAACTCAAAGCATGTGCCATAAACCCAAACCAACCCCACCCCACCCAACCCAACACAATCCACCCTGCCCCACCCAACCAAATCCAACCCAACCAGCAGTCTTACTTGTGATGATTTTCAAGTTCCTTTGCTCTGGCTTCTGCTGTCGCCATGTTCTCAGTGTGGCAGGAACCTGAGGGAAAAGCATCACACAGAGTAGAGTGAATTAACACAACAGAGACCAGGGTCATGTGTGGCCCCTTAATGTGGGAAGTCAGTGTAGGGTGCACAAAGTGGGATTCTTCACACACTTACCTCACAGAGATAATGAAAATGTATAAAGTGTGTGTATGTGTGTTTAGGAAAGGAGGTGACAAACATGTCCCAAAAGCCCACAGGTTGGAGCTCACATTTCTGTAGAGAACACATCCCCTCTTCCTGGGTGCCACCCCAGCAACAATCAGAACATCAAGGTTCCTACTGTCCATATCTCTCTTCCTGGCCCTCCTAGGGAGGATATAAGGAAAGAGTGTAGGAGGATGAACATGGTGGAATATTATGTATTTGTGTATGAGAATGAAAAAATGAGACCTGTTGAAACTATTACAGGAATGGGGGAAGAGGGATAAAGGAGAATGATGGACAGGTGAATTCAATTATGATATATTGTAAGAAATTTAGTAAATGTCAAAATGGACCCCCTATAATAAATACTACAAAAAATATATACCCTGGGCTCTAAGCTTGATACCCATTAAAAAGTGTGCTTTCAACAGTTTTGCCATAAAACACCAGATTAGGCCAGAATGTTTACAGGCTAGGAGCCTCCCATGACTAAGCTAAGCTAAAATGATGGGATTCGTGATGTATACACAGATGATTGAGAAGAGAGAATTGCTAACATGGAAATACCTCATTCCCTGAAATGCCCTTGGTAAATCCTCAGTATAATATCATCTCTTAGTCAACATTTTAAAAATCACTCATTCTGGAGGTCACACAGCTGAGCAATACATTACTGGCTTCCCACTAGCTTGAGGGTGCTACCACTTCTGACGTGTGGGTTATGATTACAGTTGCCTAGCTGACTTGAAGAAACATGAAGTCTACTTTTGCTAAAAAGTGACTCTTCACTGGAGCCTCTTGATAGTTAATGGATGACTAAACGGGGACAAATAATTTGACATCTCTGTCTTCCTATCATTCTGTCCCCTTTGATGTGTCAACCTTTAAATCAGACCCTACTCAGCTTTGCATGTAGACAGGTGGCCAGGACATTGGTGCAGAATGAAGAGAGAAACCCACCACTTCCTAGGTTGGGTCACCTTGGCTAGCCTCCAAACCTCAAGGCCAGGATGCTTGCACACAACAAGGAAAACATCTTTTGAAACCATGTCTTATCCTTGACCAATGGGTAATTACCACACTCTGGCCCACCTCAGAAAATCATGAAAAGGCAGCTGCTCCCTATATTCTGTGGACACCCAGTTGAGCCCCCTCTTGATCACAAGATGAAGTTGACCAACTCAGAGTGAAGGCCCAAGAAGGAAGTCTTCCTTGCCTGTCTTATTCATACAGAACATGTGTCATGGTCTCAAGTCATGCCATAAAATCCTGCTGCCTGAAATCAGGAAGAGAACCCTTTAGACAGGAGAAGTAGATAAGGAGACATGACACATATGAGACACCGGGTTAGAAATTATCTAGGAGAGAGCTCAACAGCTTAGTGTAGCAAATCAACCAAGAAGATGTGGTCAAAAGTTGAATCCCCAGGCAGTTGTGTCCCCATAAAAACCTTGAGCATCACCCTGGAGATGATGGAGGGCCCCTAAAAGATTGTAAGCAGGGAATGACAGAGATTTGCACATTAGGTCCATATGAAGAGGTTCAAAACGCACCACTGTGACTACCAGCTTTGAAAATATCCCCCATAGACCCATGTTTTGAGGGCTTGGTCACTGGCTTGTGACTGAAAAGTGGTGGTACCTTTGGGAGGTGGGGCCTAGTTGAGGAGACAGGGTCAGTGGTCTAGGGGCATGCCCTCGAAGGTGGTATTGGAACTCCAGCCCCTTCCTGTCTCTCTCTTCACTTCCTGTTAGTCCTGAGGCTAACAGGCCTCCAACCATGTGCTCCCATCATGAAGTGCTGTGGCACCAACGGCCCATATCGCCTCAACATGAATAAACACCTCTGAAGGGAGTGAGCTAAAGTTGACTTATCTCAGATATCTGTCACAGTCACAGAAAGCTGACTTGTAGGAAGGAACATAACTCATTTTGAGCTGAAGCCATTCGATTTCCTAAAATCTATTATCTTCCCATAAGCAAAGCCTCCTGAAACAACTCTACTATCGTGAAAAGCAACTCTAATTGTTCTAGCAGAAAATCATACTGAACAGATATTGTCAAGAACTAGCATATCTCCCACTTATCTCCTGAGGTCCCATTAATCTTTCAAAGTATCATTTGTTTCTCCAAAAGTGTCCTTTCCCTCATCTTCTTGGAAGTCACTTAATCTCTTAGAAGTATTCCTCTGGGCTCCTTATTAGGATAGAGCATAAGCCCCAAATCCTAACCACTTCCTTGCATCACTTTGTTTTCTGTGAACCCCACATACCTATGTGAATAAAAATCTGCATTTTTTTGTTGTTAATCTGTCTCTTGTCAGTTTAATTACAGGCCTCCAGTAACTGAAATTACAAGGACACAGGCTAAATTTTTTTCTTTCCAGCATAGCTGGATTTGAGGGGCATAGACCATGAGCAAGGATTAAAAAAATGACCCAGAGTTGAAGGGAGAAGTGCAAACCCAAATAGGGCAGGGTGCTAAGAACAGCATGGTGTGGAGGATGAAATCCCAAGTCTTAAGTTCCTATAACAGGTACTTAGAAACTGTTTTTGCTTAAAAAACAAAAAAAACACTGACTTCATCCTTGGGCCCATGAATTAACTAAAGGCAGGAGAAAAGCTTGACATCCTTGCCCCCATTTTTCTACCTGTCTTCTTTACTGAGTCTCTCAAGGTTCCAGGAAGGACAGGACTGATAGATGACATCTTTTTTTGCAGCACTAGGGTTTGAACTCTGGGCTTCATACTTGCTAGGCAGGCACTCTTACACTTGAGACACTCCGCCAGCCCTTTTTTTGGGATGGTTTTTTTTTGAGATAGGGTCTCTTGAGCCAGGGAGTGGTTTCCAACCACAATCCTCCTGATCTCTGCCTCCTGAGTAGCTAGGATTACAGGTGTCAGTCATAGGTGAATGGCCTGATAGATAACATCTTTATGATGAAGGATGAAACTTGAGGATGACAGAGCACCCACACACACACAACACACAAATGGGCACAATTACCGATAATGATGCACCTTGGAGCAGGAGTAATTATTTCATGGGAGCTGGATTGCTCCCCTCAACTGATGACAGGGACAACTTCTCTTGAAACCTGGCAGAAGTAGAACTGAGCTAAATGAGCCAGACCACACTTCACCTATGACTCTATTTAAACCTAAAGGTCACGAGCTTATGTCTGTAGCCCAAACATGAGCTACTTTGGTATGCACGTACCCCTTAATTCTCCTTACTCATAACACACTCCTTTCTGTCTTTCAGCACTACTGTCTCTATTTGGTCACACGTGGCTTGATAGAACCCCTGGAGTTGATCCACTACCCTAGATCTCCAGTTGCAGGCTGGCTGGGCCATAGCATTAGGAAGAAGCTACCCGGCTACCCCACTTCTACTGGGGTAGAAGTGATCATCGGGAACAGCTGGGCACCAGTGGCTCACGCCTGTAATCCTAGCTATTCAGGAGGCAGAGATCAGGAGGATTGCAGTTCAAAGCCAGCATGGGCAAATAGTTTGCAAGATCCTATCTCAAAAATACCCAGTCACAAAAAAGAACTGGCGATGGCTCAAAAGACCAAAAATCGTATGTTCTCCCTCATATGTGGACATTAGATCAAGGGCAAACACAACAAGGGGATTGGACTATGAGCACATGATAAAAGCGAGAGCACACAAGGGAGGGGTGAGGATAGGTAAGACACCTAAAAAACTAGCTAGCATTTGTTGCCCTTAATGCAGAGAAACTAAAGCAGATACCTTAAAGCAACTGAGGCCAATAGGAAAAGGGGACCAGGAACTAGAGAAAAGGTTAGATTAAAAAGAATTAACCTAGAAGGTAACACCCACGCACAGGAAATCAATGTGAGTCAATGCCCTGTATAGCTATCTTTATCTCAACCAGCAAAACCCCTTGTTCCTTCCTATTATTGCTTATACTCTCTCTACAACAAAATTAGAGATAAGGGCAAAATAGTTTCTGCTGGGTATTGAGGGGGGAGCGGGAGGGGGTGGAGTGGGTGGTAAGGGAGGGGGTGGGGGCAGGGGGGAGAAATGAACCAAGCCTTGTATGCACATATGAATAATAAAAGAAAAATGAAAAAAAAAAAAAAAAAGAACTGGCGAAGTGGCTCAAGGTGAAGGCCCTGAGTTCAAACCCCAGCACTGCAAAAAAAAAAAAAAAAAAAAGTCCTGACACCACAAAAAACCAATTTTAAAGACTATATTTTGAGTTTTCTTTTTAGTTTCAACCTATTAAATCAAGATTGGGTAGGTGCGAATAGTTTAGTATACAGTAGACCCTGGATATCAGTGAGCCTGTGATTCCAAGGAGACCACCACTGAAGAAAAATCAAGAATGTTCAGGATGCAGAGTTCAGCACTGGACTTCTGGTGCCTAACTTTCACTAAAGATAGGCCACTTTTCAACAAATTGAAAATCTTCAGTTTATCACTTAAGCTAAGCATATTACGTGCCCATATTTGGCTTGGGAAGATTACCATAACTTTTGTCTTGCTTGTTGGGCACTATTTGCTTTTTGGGAAGAAGATTTTTACAAAATTAAGGACAGGGAAACACTCAGCAGATCTCACAACGATTTCAACACAACCGATGATAACACAAGACTGAGAGCTTCTCTGTGTTGTGCAATGCATGTGCAGGTATTTAAAATCTTTGGTTTTGAAATTTCTTTTGATTTATGCATTTATTTGTGGTATTGGGGTTTGAACTCAGGGTTTTATGATTCTGAGGCAGGAGCTCTGAGGCTTAGGATACCTAAGCCATGCCTGCAGCCTACTTTATTTTTTTATTTTATTATATTATTGTTGTATTGGGGTACATTGTGACATTTACCAAAGTTCTTACAATATATCATAGCTGAATCCATCCCTCCATCATAAGTCTGCAGCCCTATTTATTTAATTTTGACTATGCTTGGTCAAAACCATGTGTAATGAATCCATGAATAAGGCAGGCTTACTGTATAAACATTTATAATACTTCTTTGGATGAATGTATCTTAAAAACAAGTGTATGTGAAAGAGGAAGAGAGGAAATGAAGGAGGGAGCATGAGTGAATATTCAATGCTTATCTTTAGGGAGTAATAAAACCTGGACATTTCACTTCCTTTTATACATCTGGTTCTTTTTTTTTTTTAAACAACAAGTTTACATTTTATGTGCACTAAATGCAACAAAAGTGCACTTTGGCAAAAAGCTAAGGTACAGAAAAACTAACCTGACCTTTTTAATGGAAACATTAACACCCACCAATGCTGACTGCACCTGAACCAAGAACATAAAAGTTGTGCCCAATAAACCTGGGCAGAATTAAAGACGCCTACAATATGAGGCTTATTTTGGAGGCTGGGAAAGGTCAATTTGGTCTGTGAAAAAGGGAAAGAAATAATGGCAGATTGGCTGAGAAGTGCAGGAGGTTTAGCCCAAAATGCAGATGGGCACAAATTGTACAAACTGAAAGACAAGGGGACAATGACATGTCTTGGGAATGACCCAGTAAGGCATGCAAAGACTCAGTGAAGACATTCCTTCTATTGAAGGAGGTCATAGGCTTTAAAAATAAAAAGACAAGTTTACAGCAAATGAATGGAACCAGTAGCCTCTTTTAATCCGGCAAGCAGATTTTTCCCACCAGCAAGGGTGAAGATGAGGCAACGAGACCACAGGAAGACAAAGGAAAGAAAACAAAAGGCAAAGCGGTCATTTAAATGTCGGAAACTGCCTCCCGTGGCTTCATGAAAATGTCCCTTTCTACCCGGGATTCCAGATAGGGCTTCTCGGTAACTCACCTTCCCAGGTGGGCAGCTGGGTGCAAATGCAGCTCTGCAAGCCCAGGCAGGAAACGGGTGGTTCAGGTCCCCGCGAGAGGGCGCCGGCGTCACCAACAAACGTGTGTCACCCGAACTCCAGTCACCTCGCCAAGCCCTGAAGTGGAAAGGCAGCGACATGTTAACAGCCAGCGCAACTGCACAGCCCCCTCCTCTCCCTGGGCTCTGTCAGGTTCAAGAACAGGTTGCCAGCGCCTGCCCAGCAAGCACGAAACCCTGAGTTCAAACCCCACTACCGCCAAAAAAAAATTGCAAGGGAAGGATTTTCCAGGCAAATTACTTTCAGCTCGTGTGACAGAGTTTCTCAGTTGAGCTGCCAGACAAGTCAATGTCAGCATTTTATGCACTAACATCTTGATACATCAATGTATAATTGAAGTTATTTGAACAATATGGATTCAGGTAACAATCCATCTACAAAATGAAACTTTTTTGCATCCTCCATGAAAAGGCAGGTGCAAAGACGTCACTTAGTAGCTGGACACCGATGGCTCACTCCTGTAATCCTAGCTACTCAGGAGGCAGAGATCAGGAGGATCACAGTTCGAAGCCAGCCCTGGCAAGCAGTCCGGAAGACCCTATATCGGAAAAAAAAAAAGGGGGGGGGGCTGGTGGAGTGGCTCAAGGGATATAGGACCTGTGTTCAAACCCCAGTACCGAAAAAAAAAAAAAGTCACTTTGTAACTGATGTCACCAACTCCATTCGTGTTCTCCCTTCCCACGCGGGTTTGGGCTACTCAGACACCTGGCGCTCTGTAGAACCAAAACCTTCCGGCTCTGCATCCACCTGGCAGTGCCTACACCAGGTTCGGCATCACCTGGATTCAAGCTTAGCTCTGCGCGGCAGGTGGCCCGGAGGAGGGAGAGGCGGGCAGCGAGGGGACACCGAGAGGTGCATCCTCCCTGCGCTCCCACCTCTCCACACACCCCACACCCTCCTGCGTCGGTAGCACGCACGTCCTTCACACTCGATCCCCAAAGTGAACGTGAGCCTCAGTCTCACCTCCCGGCAAACTGCGCATTATCCAAGCCAGGAAGAGCGAGTACCCAGCAAATCAAGCACCAGCAAATCTGCTTAGGCAAAACCAAAGCGCGGATCACTCACCACTCAGTACTGGCCCGCGCGCGGATCCGCTACACACGCCACGCCATCCGCTCGAAGGGACACCGGCGACAAAGATTTCGATCCAAGGGCCGAGAAAGGGGCAGCTCGCTGGAGGCTGTGGGCAAGTGGCACCCGAGGGCCCAGTTAAAGGAGGAACCACGAGCAAGGTGAAATGTCAGAACGTGGTCCGTGCTATCCCCTCTCCGCTGCGGTCACCCTGGAGTCCTTCCTGGGGATCCCCGCCCTACCCTGCGGTCGCACGGCTCAGCTGACCTCGCCCGCCCCCCCACCCCGGCAGGACACGCCTCCCCTTCCTCTGCTCCCCCCCTGCACCTCCCAAGGCGGGAAAGGTTACCAGGCGCCACCCACTACTGTTTCCCTTTTCTAGTTACTTTGCTACTCTTGATACACTACAGAAAAAAAGTTACCACTGCCATGCCACCTGCTGTGCAGCACCGGAAACCTGTCTGGAAAGCACTCTGTGGGGCTTCCCAAGGTCACCCGTTAGTGCCAGGCTTGGCCCAGGTCTGTCTGTCTGGAAGTTGGCCCTCATAGGCTGGGACCAGCTGAGAAAAAGTGCCAGAGAGAAACGACAGGGTGAAAGTGGTCAGGAATTCAGTGCTGGGCCATTGTCAAATGTGTGTCGCCTTGGTGTCTCCGGCCAGTTTCTGCGTTTTACTGGGAACTTCCCGAGCCTGGGAATTCCCCAATAGTTGGGGAAAAGCCAGGAGAGAGCTTGCCCAGCAAGGGGAAGTGACTCATTCATTCAGTCACAGCTAATTTGGCAAAACAGTACTTCTAGCCCAGCGCGACACTCAGACACCCCTCCCCCGCTGCCAGCCCGGCCTGCTCTACGTCCCCTCCCCTTCTCATGGGTTTCCTTTGTCTGCTTTCCCAACCGGCAAGAGGACAAAGCCTAGGAAAGAAGGGAGAGGGACTGGGAGCGGCCAGCACATCCGTTATTTGCAAGTTACATCTTAAGCCTGTGACCCTCTTCCTGGAGTGATTAAGCACTCTTTTTCTTCCATTTCCAAGAAGCTGCAAAGGAACCTGGAAGTCAAACAAGTACCAAGAGGTCACTGTCAAGTTTAAACCTTGCAGATGGGTGGAATTGGAAATAAAATGGTATCTAAGGCTCACCTGAAAACTCCATGTCATCAACACCTGCACAGAGTGCTCAACCAGGGCCACTTTCACAGCAGCTGCTGGGGACAGAAAAACCTGGGAGGAACTAAGAGCTGGAGGCTCTGGGCCAGCAGATCCCAGGCTCTTACCATGCTGAGGATGTGCTAAGAAACACCATGCTTGCCTAGGGCCAGGCTCACTGTCCCACAGGGAAAACTGAACCTGGGAACAATTTCAAAATACTTAACAATTATCCCAAAGAAAAGATAGTGCCCAAGATCTCTTTGTTAGCTGGGCCCTAGGGTTACTTCCCTTCAATGAGGCAGAGGCATAAATCCCATAACCAATAACAATTGAAACAGGCTAGCGTTAGGGAAAGTTCGAGACCCATAGAAAATTATGACTTAATATTGCATTTCAGATTGGACATTCCTCTCTTTCTCTGAGCCTTCTGTTCAATTGCAGATATTGTGTGGTTGCCCACTCCCTGGCTCAGGGACCTCTGGGACCACCTTACTTGCCCCTCCCCCACTCATTGATTATTGAATGAGAATCACCAGCTTCTTCCCTTCCCATAGGGTAGCATAAATTTTAAGAGAACCTAGAAGCTGCATGCTGGTGCTGAAGGCTCACAGCCTGTAATCCTGGCTACTCAGGCGGCAGTGATCAGGAGGAAGACAGTTGGAACTGATCATAGTTCGAAGCCAGCCCAGGCAAATAGTTCAGGAGACCCTATCTTGAAAAGACCCATCACAAAAAAGGGCTGGTGGAATGGCTCAAGGTGAAGGCCTTGAGTTCAAGCCCCAGTACCACAAAAAAAAAAAGAAGAAGAAGAAAAGAAAACCTGAAAAGGGGAAGCCCACTCTCTCTGGTTCTGACTTCCACCTGCACCCACCATGCTCCCTAACTTTTAGTAAACTCCATTTACACCCACGTGTCCTGCCATGGATTCTTCTCTCAGGACACAAAGAATGTAGACTTCTCATCACAGACTGCACCATTGCCATTAACACAATGATTAACATAATGACTCACATGCTGTATCACTGATTAAAATAATGACCTTACATCATGGGGGGGTGTCAGTACTGGGGTTTGAACTCAGTCTTACACTTGCTAAACAGGCGCTCTACCACTTGATCCACTCTACTAGCCCTTTTTTGTGATGGATTTTTTTCAAGATAGAGTCTCTCAAATTATTTGCCCAGGCTGGCTTTGAACCTCCATCGTCCTGATCTCTGCCTTCTGAGTAGCTAGGATTATAGGCATGAGCCACCAGCACCCAGCATGTCTTCCTACTTTTGGTTCTTTTGTTGCAGCTGGGGCAGCATCCTAATCATAGGTGTTGTACCCAAGATCCACTTTTTCTCTTACTCAGAAAGTACTAGTCCAGAAAACTCAAGTTCTTATGTCACCTGAAGAGAGAACGAAGAACTGGACACAGACACAAATTGCAAAACAGTAATGAAACTTTATTGGAAGAAAAGGGAAAAAAAATAGTAAGGAGAAAGAAAAGCATTGCTGGGAAAACAGTGAGCCCCTAACGGCAAGGAGGAATTGATTACCAAAACTTTATCAAAAGAAAAGGAAAGAAAGAGGAAGAGGAAGCACCACAGGGGAAGCAATGGACCCCTGCCAGGTTACACAGAAGCATTGATCTCTTTGTTTAAGACCAACTTATAAGTCGTAAGGCGGGAAAAATCTGGGCGGTCTTTAGGAAGGGGATGGGGTAACTGACAGATATAGTTAACACAGCTTTATCACATAATATCAGGTATTCTGTGTCTGTGCTTATGTTAATTTTTAGCCTTTAATTGTTTGTATGGGATGTGACCAAGGTTCATGAGGTCCTAAGTAAGAGGACATGGCCTAGGACATCAAATTGGAAGCAGACCTCTTTTTTAAAAGCAAGGCAGACCCAAAGGAGTTTCTTCTGGATGCTATCTTACAATGACATTTATGACCACCAGAGTAATTACAACTTAAAGGGGATTTATTGCTCTAGAAATGACTCAGGATCTGCTGGGTTGCCTGTTAGCTTTGTTTGCTTAAGAGAAAAGATCCCCTGTAAATTAAATTATTTTTCCTGCCTGCTAACCTACCTCACCAGGACCATCTGGAACACCTGTGTTAATGGCACCAGCTCAGTCTGTGATCAGAAGACTTCCAAATTCTTTGTCCTACCAGGAAGAATCCATGGCAGGACATATGAGTGTAAATGGAGTTTATTAAACATTAGACAAAGGAAAATACAAAGGGAGAATGATGGGCACAGGTGGAGTCTGCTGGCAGACAAAGCATGCTTTTCTTCTTCAGGTACTTTTTAAACATATGCTAATACAGGGGAAGTGAAGGACCAGGTGATTCCCATCCAACAATCAATGAGCGGTGGGGCATTGGTGGGTCTCAGCCAGGTGCAGGTGGTCTGGGCCATCCCTGGGCAGCCGGCATATGAGTCCCGAACATTCCCTACTTCTAGCCTACTTCACCCCAACCACAGTAACATCCCCCCTGCATAGCCTCACCTCAACAACCCCCCCCAAATTCCTAGTGTCCGATATTCCTCCCTCTGCACCAGCAGCCACACAGCTTTATTGAACACCACTCTGAGGGCAGAAACAGCCAGCACAAGTTTCTAAAGAGCCCTCATTAAGAGCAGAAATTGAAGAAGCATGATTTTCAAAAGCCTCAATAGAAGGTCGTGAAACCTGTGTGAGGGTCACAGCCAGCATTTTCATTGTCCATGAGGCTGAATGGAGTGGGAACACTCTGTCTGCTTTGCATGCAGAAGGGCACGTATCCTGTTGTCACACACAGCATTACTGGCATTACTCACACTGTGCTCACATTGGGATCAGCCCAGAGGCTCAGTCCTCTGGCACCACTGCAAGTCTACTGTAAACTCAGACTCCACAGGCTGGGCTCCTCCCCTAGCTCACAGTGAGATGAGAAATCAAATTTAGTGGTCACTTGTCTCCCCGCTGATGGCTGGTCCTGTGATAGACTCCAGGGAAATGGAGGATGTCCCATTACAAGGGTTGTACATTTGAACTTGAAGGGAAAAGGTACAGAGACCAAATAGTCATCTCACCTCTATGTTTATAGAAAGGAGCTGGTGATGGAATATCCACGGGAAATATTTACACTGCTTTTTTTTTCTTTCTTTTTTGGTGGTACTAGGGCTTGAACTCAGGGTCTCAGGCTTGTTAGTGCTCTACCACTTGAGTCACTCTTATATTCATTGTACAGGAGGGATTCGTTGTGACAATTTCAGATAGGCTTTTATTGAACATTGGTTTTAAAAATATACATATGGAACGCTTCATGAATTGTACATTGGTTAGATCACCCCACCTTCTCTCCCCCTTGACTCTCTCCAAGCCCCACTTAAAGCAATTGCAAGAGGTCTCTTTATTAATCACCTTCGTTCGCCCTCCCTCCTCCTACAAGTAACCCCCCACACACACACTACCTTTTTTACAGTCCTGTCTTTCATTATTAATATCTAAATCAATGTTCAAAAGGATTTGCCGATGTATCCCTGCTGTGAATGTGTACTTCGATTTGGTCCATGCAACCCCTTCCATTGCTCTCCCTCACCCCTTCCCTCCCACCCCCCCCCCTTATTCAGCAGCTTTCAGTGCACATCCTTATGTCCTCTACCTGCACAGATGGGATGTTTTATGATATTACTGACGCTCTATCATTCTCCTTTCCTTTCCTTCCTCCCCCGAGTTCCTTCGAGTAGTTCTACTACTGCAAACAAGTTCTACATCTGAGTTTGTATATGGTCATGATTGTTTTTGTGTACTTGTTTATCTCTTGAATCTACCCTCCATGGATGAGAGAAAACATGTGGCCTTTGTCTTTCTGAGCTATAGGAAATATTTATGAATACCCAGGAATAGTGTGGGCACTGGTGTCTGGCTTGTTCTTGCCTTCTGGGCACTCACTTTTGGGAGAGATGGCTGGCAGGAGGTGTTATTTCTTATGAAGCTGTCTAGTCTAGGAAGCCAAACATACCTCACCTTTCTTTCACCCTTTACTGCCACGAGGCTTTGTCACCGCCACTCCAGTGTTCTGCTCTTCTACCTGAATGTTTTCATTCTTCACAA